AAGGCCCTGGGTTCATATCCCAGTATACAAACACACAGAATGCTATAATGAAAGTTCAGTCAAAGAAGCAAACTCGGATTATATGATTTCTTGAGTGGAAACAAAAAAAATCTAAAGAATTAGTTTTTGCTGCTAGTACTCTATGGCAATACTAATTTAACATATCAGTATCAAATATCTTTTTTTTTTCTTTGCCAGTACTGGTGATCAGTCCCAGGGGTGCTCTGCCACTGAGCTACATCCTCAACCCCTTTTAAAATTTTATTCTGAGACAGGGTCTCATTAAGTAGCTCAGGCTGAGCTTGAATTTGCAGTCCTCCTGCCTCAGCCTCCCAGAATGCTGGGATTACAGGTGTGCACCAGCACCAAAGGAGCTTCTGTAGGGAATAAGGCATACCCGTTGTTTTGAGATTAGTGTGGTAACAGGACTCTGTGTAGTTATGAGAAATTGAAGAGTGAGTTAGCAGTCAGCTGTAACAGTAATGGTTTTATGGACATATTATTGAAATATTATTTGGTAGAGTTTCAGTCAGTGATATTTGCAGTTTGTGACTATAAACAGCAAACACACACACAAAAATATAAGATGTGTGAAATAAGCTGGGCACGGTGGTATGTAACTCTGATCCCAGCACTCTAGGAGGCTGAGGCAGAAGGACCACAGGTTTGAGCCCAGCTTGGCCCACTTAGTGACTTGGCGAGTTCCTGTCTCAAAAGAAGACATAAAGGCTGGGGGCCAGGCATGGTGGTGCACACCTGTAATCCCAGCACTTGGGAGCCTGAGGCAGGAACATCGCGCCAAGTTTCAGGCCAGCCTGAACTACATAGCGAGACCCTGTTTCAAAAAAACAAAACAAAAGAAGGACTAGGGATGTAACAATGATGTGAAGGCTTTGGATTCAATGCCCAGTACTGGAGGAATGAATGAGTGAATAATAATTTTTAAAAGATGCAATGGTTTTTTTGTTCTCAATTCAGGAGAGATTGGTGGCAGTCATCTAATTAATTCAGGCCTCATGGCACCAGAAGGTTGCCAGGAGCCTAACCAAGATCTGAAGTTTTCTGTGGAGCAAGGAAATAGCAGAAGCAGAGAAAACTCTCCCTCTTCCCTGTCAACTGATCTTCCTAGCATAAATAAAGAAGGGGAAGAACCAGCCCAAGGCAACAGTGAGTCTGAGGCCTGTAGCAGTTCGTTTTTAAGATTATCTTTCTCTTCAGAAACCCCTCTGGAGAAGGAACCTCCCTCTCCTGCTGATGAGCCTGGGCTACAGGCAGAATCTACTCTCATGTCCCCTGAAACTAGGGGAAACAAGAAAAAGAAGAAGCTTCGTAAGAAAAAAACACTACGGGCTACACATGTTCCTGAGAATAGTGACACTGAGCAGGATATATTTACTGCTAAACCTGTAAGGAAAGTAAAAATAGGGAAGTTACCTAAAGGAGGAAAAGTGACCACCTCTACCTGGGAAGACAGCAGAACTAGTCGGGAACAAGAGAGTGTCCAGGATGAGCCAGAGAGCGACTCATCTCTGGAAGTCCTAGAAGTTCCTCATCCTCAGTTAGAAGTAGTAGCCATTGATTCTTCTGAATCTGGAGAAGAGAAACCAGACAGCCCCTCTAAAAAGGATATTTGGGGCTCTATAGAACAAAACCCAGTAGAAACTTCTCGTTCTGGTTGTGATGAAGTTAGCTCTACCAGTGAGATTGTCACTCCCAGCAAGGATGGCATCCCTTTAAGGTAAGATATTGTATTGGGCCAATCAGAGCAACTTTTGTCAGTCTTTTTTTTTTTTTTTTTTAAATGGAACCTTTAGTCATGAATCACAGTTTATTTGAAAACAGAAGTTGTAGAAGAATCAAATCTTTTTTTTTTTTGGTACCGGGGATCGAAGTCGGGTCCTTGCACTTACACAGCAGGCGGCGAAACCACTGAGCTAAATCCCCGGCCCAAGAAGAATCAAATCTTGATAGTGGAGATTTTTATACTTTCTTTTTTGTCTGTGTTGTAAATATTCACTGCTTTTATTTCTCTTCATATAGAAATTTCAGATATATCACTACTGCTTTGCCCATTCTTTAGAAAAATTCTTTGAATTAGAAAGTTTTTAGTTTTGCTACCTCTCCTGTTTTCACAGATGCTAAGAAAACTTTTGCTATTACTTTGTAGTGTGGCAGAAACTCAGACTGTGATCTGTTCCCTAAAAGGCTCCAAAAACTCCTCAGGTATTTGTTGTCTGTTTTATTTAAATTAACCACAGAAAAAAGAGGTTTGTAAATTCAGAGCCCACGTTTCAGTATTGAGTATGTTTACGGAACAGGAGAGTGGGGAGGGATTGTACCGCGTGTGTTGTCTGGATCAGCACTAGATCTTCAGATCTGAACTCTTCAAGTTTCTCCTGCTGGTCTCAGCTGTCTGGCTCCTTCACCTGTTTATTTAGTTTGTTTAAAGAATAGTGCCTCACTCAGAGAAATAGCAGTTTGAAAGTAGGGGAGGTGGTGTGGAGAGAGATTTAGGGACCTTCCAAGTATCACTCAAACTCATTTTAGAAGATCTTTTTCCTAAGTGAAAGGTCTTCTCTGCATTTCCTTATTGTAGAATCTTCATAGTGAAGCTCTTTAATGAAGACTGATATTCTGCTAGTAGAACTAGGCTTTAAGGAGAGTTTTTCTTTTTAAATGTAATTCAGACATCACTATATGATATAATGGTTTTTAGTTTTGAGTATCTTTTCGGGTGCAGCTTACATGTCTCTTATACTTCTCATTTCCTAGAAATATCTTCAGAGCCAGGAGATGATGATGAACCCACAGAAGGAAGCTTTGAAGGGCACCAAGCTGCAGTGAATGCAATTCAGATATTTGGAAACTTACTATATACCTGTTCGGGAGATAAAACTGTCCGAGTGTATAACCTGGTGGTAAGTATGCATAATATTTTCAATATTTTTGCTTGCAGATTTTAGAAAAATCACACTCATACTCTTTTAAATGATAAAGGAATTTCTAGGGGCCTTAGGGTGATTTTTAGATGCAGTTGATCCAGCACATCAGCAGGTGCTTAGTTTCTTTCTTTCTCTCAGCTCTGCCTTCTCTGTTAACATCTTTTCCTAAAAGGTAGTTCTCCTGTCAAGTGCTTCTAAGATTTCTTTTCCCTCTTACCAGAAAAGGTCCTGTGCTTTTCTCCTTGAACAGTCACCTTGGGCAGAGGGTGTGGAATTACACCAGTACGTTTTAGCCCAATCAAGTCCCAACTACATGCCAGAGGAATGAATACTGGGGAAGTATTAGAGGGAGCATTTTCCCCCTCACACTTGATAGATTACAGAATCCAAGTTCTTAAGGAGATGAACACTTTCCCATTACCTCACACTTCCCATAATCTAAGTTTTGAATTTGATACCAGCATTGTTTTTGTTTGTTTGGTTTGGTTTTTTTGGTACAGGGGATTGAACTCAGGACCTTGTGCTTGTGAACCAGGTGCCAGAACCACTGAGCTAAATCCCCAGCAAGTTTTGAATTTGATATATGTCAAAATTCTAATTGTGAATAATGATAGCCAAGAAATTTAAAAATCACTATTTTCTTTCTTTTTTTTTTTTTAAATCAGTATTTTCTGAAAGACACTGTAAAAGTATGTAAATCACTGAAGTCAGTGAAAACTACAAAGTTAGGCGAGGGACTGGAAAGATGTGTTTGCTTTAGGCAAATAAAGGTATATGGGTTTTTTCAGTCTAGTGATAAGTATCAGGAGTGACTGAAGAAGCAATGATACAAGGAAGTGTGAGTGTAAGATCCAGGGAATTGGGACTATAAATTGTAAGGGGTGTGTGTGCGCGCGCGTGTGTGTGCAGGTGCATTCTAAGATCTTGGTATGTGCACGGAGATAACATTTAGGACATTTCTTTACACAACCACTCCTGGATGGCTAGGACCTGTGATGGCATCAGACAGTTTTTAGTATTGTGGAACATTCTTTTAAACTTAAGGATCAAATAACAGCTTTTCTGTGTAATTAGCTACAGTTGAGGTTTGCAGGATCCTTGGTCTATATATTAGAGAACCTTGCCCAAAGCATTAAAATTCTGAGCTAGATGTGGTGGCACATACCTATAATCCCAGCACTCTGGGAGGCTGAGGAAGGAAGATGGCAAGTTTGAGCTCAGCTTGGACCAACTTAATGACTTGATGAGACCCTGTCTCAAAATATAAAAAAAAAAAAACCAGAAAAAGGAGTGGTGGGAGTGGCTCAATGTGAAAGCTCTGGGTTTAAGCCTTAGTACAACTGAAAAACCTGGCCTGTTGTAGAGAATCGTTATTTTTTAGTGTAGCTCAACTGACATACAGAGGTACCTCAGTACGTGGGACTTTGCTGGTCATTCAGTGAACAGATATTTCTTTGACACCTTAGACATTGAAAACACAGCAGTGAACTAAGTTTTGCATTATTTTGTTGAGTTGAGGAAATACGCTAATCCTTCCATATTTTTCAAGTAATAATTTGATCTGTGCTTGATTTTAGAGTCGGAAATGTATTGGCATCTTTGAGGGCCATACTTCCAAAGTGAACTGTCTCCTGGTCACTCAGACCTCTGAGAAGAATGCTGTGCTCTACACAGGTTCCAGTGATCACACCATTCGCTGCTACAATGTTAAGGTGGGTGGGTCCAGAGAAGTCTGAAGTGTAAGGTGGAGACACTGGGGTAAATGCTCCATTCTACCCACCTGGCTCTTGTTTTGATTCTGAACCTGTTTTAGCACACTGATAAACCTTAGGTCTTTTACCTTAGATAGAAACCACATTTTCTGTTTCTCTCCACCAGTGTGTGTTTTCTACTATTAATGGTGTACTTCCCATGGTCTTTCCCTATTCATTTTTATTTTTATATCACATGCTTATGTGGCAAAATTAATCCTTAATAGAATAAAGAATAAAATGTTTACAGGTTTTTTTTTTTTCCTACTGGGAATTGAACTCGGGTCCTTTCACTTGTGCAGTGTCTACAGTTTTTTTTGTTTGTGTTTTTGTTTTTTTTTGGTTCCGGGGATCGAACTCAGGTCCTTGCGCTTGTGCAGCAGGCAGCAAAACCGCTGAGCTAAATCCCCGGCCCTACAGTTTTTTTAACCTGCAGAATTAGAGATGGCTATCTCCTCTGAGAGTTTTTGAAACCTGAATACATTGAAAGAAATGAGAGAAAATTTCATTAAACAATTAAATGCATTATATGCAGGAATAGCTCAGTGGTAGAGCATTTGCCAAGCATGCTTGAGGGCCCAGGTATGTCCAACTTGTAGTCCACAGGCAGCTTGCCCTCTGTTTTTATTATTTATTTTAATTTTTTTTATATTTTGGTAGTGGGGATTGAACTCGGGCCTTTGCACTTGCGAGGCAGGCACCAGAACCACTGAGCTAAATCCCCGGCCCTGCCCTGTTTTTAAAATGTTGTAGTAACATTTTGAAAAGGTTTTTTTGTTTGTTTGTTTTTTTGTTTTGGTACCAGGGATCAACTCAGGTCCTTGTGCTTACAGGACAGGCAGTGGAACCACTGATCTAAATCCCCGGCCCTAAAAAGGTTTTTTTTTTTAACTTATATATTAACTATATCATACATTTCATATGCAATCCAAGACAGACAATTCCTTTTTGTTCAGTGTAGGGCAGGCAAGCGAAAAGGTTGGATATGTCTGCTCGAGGCCTAAAGTTTGATTCCCCAGTACCACCAAAAAAAAAAAAAAAAGAAAACTACAGCCAATACATCCAACTGGTAAATGGATAGACAAAATATGGTTTGTAAAAATAAATATGGTATATAAGCAGT